CCTGTTTAAAACGGTAACCTGCCAAAGCGGAGGAAATATTCGGTTCCGCGTGAGTCCGGTTTACACAGGTTTTACTGTATATAAATCTTTTAAAATATCATTTTAAAATTTAAAATTAAAACCTGTGTAAACCGGACTCACGCGGTACCCGTTTTGAACCGGTTTTACTGTACTTCAAACAATACAGGGAAGATCCGTTTACGAATAGAAGTAAACATTGGCGCCTTGCGGGGTGGAATATTGACTGTATATTTTCCTTATCGTACATACGCAATTCCAATTTTTTATAAGATCTTGAAAGGCAAAAATTACGGTAATGGAAGTTTCTATTGCTTATATATTTAAAATTATACGCAGCGTAACCTGCCTAAACGAAAAAAAAACTTCGAAATCGAGCGATTGTTTTACATTAAGGAAAAATATTCGGTGGCGTGCGAATCCGGCTTACACAGGTTTTACTGTATCTAAAATAATTACCGTTTCGTAAAAATTACTCATGATGTTAGGCATTTTTTTCCTTTGTTTTTTGGCTGTTTTCCTTTGTGATAGATTCTTCCGGCGAACAAAACAAGGAAGCCATTTTTTTATTTATTTTTCTGACCCATTATCTTATCTATTTTCTTTCCTACTTTCTTATAAAACGCTTCGATACTTCTCTATAATTGGTTTTATATCTAAAGAGTAGCCGTATTTATCTGTATTATCAGTAAGGTGATGTACAGTATAGTATTTAAATTGCATTATATTTCATTTAGTGTATAAAATACAAGGCATAAGTATGGTACGTGTGTCGTGTCGTTAATGGCGGAAAGAAACTAGATCTATGATTAAATGGCGGTCAAACTTTCTCCAAATATTCTATCGATCTCTAATTACGAGGCAATTAATATGAAACTAAGGGCAATTCATTTAGAAATCATTAATTATTTACCGTAATTTATGTAAGTTAAAGTAATTACATTCATCTAAATACGAGGTAACGTCGGCAGCCAAGTATGTATGTAGAGTAAAACCTGTTAAAAGCGGAAACCTGCGTAAATTCTACAGAACCGAGCGACTTTCTACTTTAAAATAAACCTGTTCAATGCGATTCCGGTTTACGCAGATTTTACTGTATATGTAACTAAGTTTGCGATTGCTTATAACCGAACCAATGACGTTGCTTGTTTCATCATGGCCTTCTCGTATATATCACGAATTTCCGATTTTTCCCGTTGGGTGGCGCGTCGTGATTCGAATTATGAATAATAATAATAAAAATATGGAGGTATATTTCAATTAAATAAGCTATTTATATCGGGCGAATTACATTCATTATAGTTTAACGAAGAGCTGCCATATTTATTCGGAGATTTTAGAATACAGCCCGTACCTCGATATAGCGTTAATCCGAATGTTTGTGAAGTGAAATCAACAAATACAGTACAGTCAAACTTTGATTTAGCGCCAGCATTTGTTGGACTCTCAATTTAATATTTACGGTCACGACCCATTGCCGGCATTCAATGATGCTTTACGCCAGGT